CAAAGAAATCAAGAATTATAAAATGAAGACATATCCCATTCCGTATAAATTAAAGAATGAGGTGTACCGAGAGCTGGATAAAATGCTGAGGGATGGAATAATAGAAAGAAGTAATTCTCCTTATATTAGTGCCATCACATGTGTAAGAAAAAAATCAGGAGAAATCAGAATATGCCTGGATGCTCGTAATATCAACAGCTATACGAGAAAACAATATGAGAGTCCAATGAATGTTGAGGGTATTTTTGGAAGAATCACTAAAGCTAAAGTCTTTTCAAAGTTGGACCTTCGGCATAGCTTTTGGCTTATTCCATTAGCCAAAGAAAGCAGATGTTATACAGCATTCATGGTGGATGGTATTGTGTACCAATTCTGCGTGGTACCATTTGGACTCCAGAGTTCATGTGCAGCATTGGTCAGAACTTTGCATTCCATTCTGAACAAATATGAAAGGTTCATTCTCCACTACATAGATGACATCTTGGTATTTTCTGAAGATGAGTTGTCACATCAGAATCACCTAAAAACATTAATGAAGGAGTTAGAAACAGCAGGTTTAAAATTAAATTTGGAAAAATGCTCTTTTTACCAAAAAGAGGTCAAATATCTAGGATATGTGCTCAATACACAAGGAGTCAGTATGGATCCAGAAAGGATACAAACGATTCAAGAATTTGCGACACCACATAATCTCAAAACACTCAGAGGTTTCCTAGGAATATTGAATTATTTTAAACGATTAATTCCAGATCTAAGTAGGATGGAAGTGCCACTAATAGAACTGTTAAAGAAAAACCAGAAATGGGAATGGACTCCAGAAAGAAATACAGCTTTTTTACAATTAAAACAAATTTTTACAACTAATTTGCAAGTGTATCATCCGCAGTATGATAAGGAGTTTATACTAAGAACGGATGCATCATGTGAGAGATTAGCTGGAGTGTTGCTACAACAACAAGAAGAAAAGGAAGTTCCTATAAGTTTCGTATCTAGGGTAACCAAAGATTTTGAAAAAAGATATTCAGCAACGGAACTAGAAATGGCAAGTGTGGTCTACTGTGTTACCAAATTAAGATTTTTTCTGTTAGGAGCACATTTTGTATTGGAAACGGATCATTCTGCTCTGACAACTTTGTTTAAAAACAGGTTTGCCAACAACAGAATTCATAGATGGAGCCTTTTGTTACAAGAATATGACTTCGAAATTAGACATATTCCAGGCAAGTCAAACATTGTAGCAGATGTACTAAGCAGAGAAGCACAACAAAGAAGTGAAGGAAGAAAATATCAAATTGGAATCAACAGAATGAAGAATGAAGAAGGGCTGTATTCGTTAGAAAGAATCTTGGAAGATCAGAGAAGATTGGAAGAAGCAGAAAAGAAGAGAGCAATCAACATCAATGGAGTATGGTGTAAGAAGTTGGAAACCATAGAAGTTTATGTCGTAACCAAAGAATTAGCAGAAGAAATCATGAGAGATCTACATGCTGAATATGGTCATATAGGGAGCAGAAAATTATGGATGTTGTTTAGGGAAAATTATTTTACAAGAAAAGATATATCCATGGCGAAAAACATCACTAAAAGTTGTACCATTTGTCAGTTAGCAAAGGAGAAGAATTTCCACAATGATAATGTAGCAAAATCCATAGTTGCAGAGAGACCTTTAAAATTAGTTGCTATCGATTTTGTCAGTAATTTAGCCATAAGTGAACAGGGTTGCAAAAATATTTTTATAATGATTGACATACATACAAAATTTGTAAAGTTATATCCCAGCGAAAGGACAAATGTAAAAACCGTAAAATACTATCTAGAAAAATACATAGAGGAAGTAGGTACTCCAGAAACAATTATCTTAGATCATGCCACATATTTTGAAAGTCCAAGATTAAAAAGAGTTTGTGAAGAAAAAAAAATCCAATTAAATTTCATTAGTATCAGAAGACCCGCATCTAATCCTGCAGAAAGATATGTCAAAGAGGTGGTAAAATTCTTAAGAATTTTGTGTGCTAGACAACATTATTTATGGCAGGAAAATTTGCCACAAGTTGAAAGATTTTTAAATGAGACACCACATGGAATCACCAAACAATGCCCATATTTCCTAATGTCTGGAAAGTATCCAGAAAGACCTTGGGAAATCAGTAATACAGGGGACATTCAAGAAGTAATGAAGAAGGTGAACCAAAATTTAATAAGAAATGCAAGTCGTTATGTAAATAGAATCAATAAGAAGAGAAAGAAAAGAGTTATTTTTGAAAAAGGGGAGAAGGTACTTATCAGGTCACTACAGGTGCCTAAAAGGAATGAAAATCTGTGTGGAAAATTACTTTTGCCATTTGAAGGACCTTATGTCATTAGTACTGAACATGGGGTAAACAGTTATGAACTAAGACATCCAGAAACTAATAAAATTAGAGGGATATTTAATATAGAGGGAATTTATAAGTATTATGAATAAACATACAAGGGTAGGCAATATTATGACACGAATTTTATATTATTAGATATAAGTTTTGTAAATAGAAGGATAATTAATACATAAGCATATCTTGAGATAAATTTGATAATAACATGACTCAAATAATTTATTGGGAACAGATGTACAGAATAATGATGAATTTATATATAAAAAAAAAGAGGTTGATTTATTTTCAAGTAAATTTATAGGAGTTACAAGTATAAATAAATGAGCAAAGTACTATGGACAAATCGATATTTTGTAGAAATTGGGAAATAGGGAATATTATAATGATAAATAGTATATGTGAAAATATGTGGGAAATAAGATGAAAAATAGAATTATAGGAAATATTGAAATATGAAATATAGAGAGTTATATGTAGAGATGATGAAATGGATATTATATGCGGATACAAAAAGAATAAATAATAATGCGGCAATGAATAAAGATACTGAAATAGTATATGCGGAAATAAATGAATAAAGATATAAAATAAAGAGGGGAACAATTATAAGAATTTCTACGAAATTAGTACGAGAAATAAATAGTACAGGAAAAGAAGTAATGAAATTGGGAAAGTACTTGGAAATTTGATTCTGAAGTTGATATAATTAGTGAAAGATTTGTAGATTTTGTTTGGAGAAGTCTGTATTTTTCATAGAGTAAATTATTAAAAAAAAAAATATTCAAGAGATATGCTTATTAATAAAAGTCAGTTTATTGTTATGTTAATATTAATAAAATGTTTAAGTTTATCGGTAAGAATTTAGATTTAGTAAGTGCTGATAGTTAGCACTGAACAAAATCCAAATTGGGGGGAAGTTGAAATGATTTCAATATGTCAAAGAGGATATAACTTAAAGGGATTTTTATATGAGTTTGTTGTTCATGAATTTCATGAAGCCATCACAATGTGGGGTCGACTCTGAAATAAAAGGGAGAAAAGATTAGTAAATTGCTAAATAAATTAATTTTGACTTACCTGGTATAGTGTTAATAATTTCTGAATAGTATAGTTGCCTAGTGTATAGGTGAATCGTCTAAACCTTAAAAGGAATAAAAAAGAAGAATTCTTAAAAAATTATTTAAACATAGAAATTTCAAAAATAAACGTCAGAAAAATAAACTGTCAAAAGTCTGTGGGAACTAAATTAATAGGGGTTTTGTTAAATAAATTACAATGATGTGGAGATGAAAAGAATAAATTATATTAGTATTGTTAAGTTTTATATCTGAATTTTTTTTTATAAATTCCCAAATTAGATGTGATTAAAGTGCTTATGAGAAATTAATGTGGTTTGACAAATATGTCAAAACAGGACAGTTTTATGGTTGAATAAAATAGAAGACGGAATGAAAAAAGAAAGGGGGTTGCTGTTAGCAACGAATAATTAGGGTGGTTGGTGCTAGCTATGGCGGTTAACAAGGAAGAATAGGTTGTTGGAGGCGACGAAAATTTTGGAGGAAGAGCCCTAAAAAGGTGGAATAGTCCGGGAGTGCTTTAAAATCGTTTAATTATAATTTAGTTTTTCCACATTTTCAAATAGAGATATCCAGAATTTGTTCCAGAGAGTAAGAGAAATTTTGACTTATAAATTATAATTGGAGTGCAGAAATGTCATTTAGATTGAAAAAGTAAAAATTCATGAATTAACTAATTGCGATAGGCCTTAAAAATTGAAATATTAATGATCATTAAAATAAAAATATAATAGTACGTACCTTTAACTTCCGAAGAGAGGATAGATATTCCAGTATCACCGATTATTTTGCGAGTAGTTAGTTTTCTTTAAAAAAAAAATCAGAACTGTTTGAAAGTGAGTTTGGATAATAATTTTGGGGATCATTTGAAATTTTGATTATATTTTAATGCTAGTTATAAGTCAGCGGCATAAAGTGTTCAGTTTTCTTTTCTTTATATTTCATTTAAACACTTTATAAAGTTGCAATAGTCATTTAGATTTAAGGTAATTGTAGAGAGTTTCCACATTTTGTAATCAAATTCTATTTTCACGACACATTAAGGTTTACACGATTCCTATTTTTGTAAATTTTTAAAGGCAACCCAAGTTGCAGACGAATTTTATTGTTTATATTAAATTTGTTCAATATTAATAAATAACGTGCTTCATTTGGGTTAATTTATCAAAAATATAAAGTAAATTTTGGTTTAATTTCTTTTTGAACTCTACCAGGAGACTACAGAGTTGACGTCACACAGTGACAGATTGCTTAGAACAAATAATTGAGCTAGCCGAGGTATAGTATATTAACAACGAACTACATACTTTTAAAATTCACTTCAATTCAATTAAAATTATATTTATTAACAATAAAACATAAAAATAATAAAAACAAAACTATTACAATATATATATATATATATATATATATATATATATATATATATATATATATATATATATATATATATATATATATATATATATATATATATATATATATATATATTGTCATGTTTTACATGTAAGAAGTTTTACATGTAACAGAAAATAAAGTATTAAAATTTAAGTAAGGAATTAAATAATTTAGTAACATCGTGTAGAAAACCTTTCGTACTCGTTTTATTAAAAAACATAATTAACAAATATTCCATTGATTGTGACTCAAAACATTTCCCAGTAACTATACAATACTTTTACACTAATAATAATGAAGTAAATTCTCTATGTTCTACTGTTGATGCTGAGTTGGTGGCATCTGAATTTGTACTGGGGCAAGTTTTGTGGTGAAGTTGACAACTAACAGAAGGAATTGCTTAACAAACGAAGGCATGCTGGGCTTGGCTGCGGTTTTCTCAAAAAGAACGCGTAGTTCCCGGAACATGTTTCTCGTGTAGGGGTTTCTCCTCGAGGTGTATCTCTGCGTCAAGAAGTGGTAGTAGATGAATGGTGTCAACAAACTCGCTCTGCCCCTATACAAAAAAATAAAAATCTATTAGATCATATACGTTTTTCTAAATTAAAAAGTAACAATGTTAAAACAAAATTTTATGAGGTTATAATGGCTAATTATTGTGTTATTTATACGTACATAATTTAAATGATGAAAGGGTTGCTGGTGTGAGTACATATTCATGAATTTTGGGGAAATAAGTCTTCTACCCATAATCCATCAATCATCGACAACGAAAATATTCATAAATATGTGCTTACACCAGCAACTCTTTCATCATTTAAATTATGTACGTTTATAAGCTTAACTATTATTTTTTAAGTATTTTAAAGCGGTAACTGTCTGAATCTTTTCTTTTTCCAGCTTATTCATTCTTTTTTTTTCTACGTTACAGTTTATTTAATGTTTTAATTCTTACAGAAATTGTTCACTTAAACGAGGTTGCAGATTAACAGCCATGTTATTATATAGTAATAATACAGCAACAAGGATTTTTCAACGTGTTTATTTTAGAATCCAGTTCCTAATGAAGACTAAAGGGAAGTTCTTTACTAATTTCGAAATATTTGTTGAATTAAAGACGAGATAATCCTTCTGGTCCTCTCCTCATCGGATGTTGGCGACCATCAACTGGAATTCTATATCTCTATCTTGTGCTAATCGTATAATTGTGCCTGATGTTGAAACATTGGCGTAAATTTCGCAGCCAAGAGAACTTCTTTAGTCCGATGTGCCCTCTTTCTTCGATCTCTCCTTCAACAATCAACTACAGAAAACCATACTTATCGTTTCTTAAGATATGACTAAAATAAGTTGCTCTTCTTCGCTAAATTGTTCTCAATAATTCCTTATTTATATTCATCCTTTCCAACACTCGATCATTTGATACTCTCTCGATCCATGGAATTTTCAATAACCGCCGGTGCAGCAACATATCAAAATAATTAAGACATGACATGGTTCTTACTCTTAACGTCCGTCCTCAACTCCATACAACGGTATAGACAGTACGTAGCATTAACGGCACGCCATCGAGTATTCACTCAGGTCTCTATTGCAAAATAGTCTTTTCCTTTTGAACAACGTACTCCTGGCTACATGGATTCTAATTTTGGCTTCATCATCAGGATCCCATCTATCGTGTGGCCAGTTTACCAAGCACTTGAATATTGTAAACTTTGTTTTCTTTATATTTATTTACTACCGAAGTTTTGACTTATGTTACTGACATTTATTAGTAACTGTAACTCATTATCGACTATTTAGATGAAACATCAAGACCATTAAATGTCAAAACAAGTGATCATTACTTATACCAACATTAAAACAAGAAAAATAGAGCGAATCTTACTGTCATGATAGGGTGTGATTGGGGACTTTTTAAAGACAAATCACATGCTTATAATTTCTGGACAGGTGTTTTCAAGCTAATGTTATTTTCATGTAATCGAATGAGTTATTCTTTAATAAAGTCGTCCCAAGAAAACGCCTCAAAAATATTAACCAAATCATCTACTTTAAAATGTATAATTGTCATTAGTAATGAGGCAGACAAAATTAAATTATAAGAATTTTTGTATTATCAAGTAACAAAAACAAAATAATTTGTTTAATTTATATTTTGAAAATGATTTCCGAAGTAAAAAATCGAAACGTCAAAATTAACGTACTTTCAATTAAAATTGTGGTTATTTTCCATTAAAAATAGTAGAACATAAAAATGCCACATGAAAATATTTTCAGAACTATATTAAGGAACATTTTAAGTATTGTTTGTTGAAAAGTCTTATTTTAACTTGCAATTGTTTTCAACCCTTAAAATTTGTTTAATTCTAAAGAAAACAATTCAGTTGATATTTTAGATTGTAAATTGAATTATAATTTTTGTTGTATCATATTTTTATTTCTAATATTCTTTCAATAAAAAAATTATAAACATTGAACAAAGCTGACTTCGTTTAGATTTACACTTTTAATAATAAAACTTTCATATCTGCCCTTTTTGATCGTATACTGGATTATTCTTGTTGAATAATGGTTATTATAAACTATATTCATGAATAAATTTAGGATATATAAATTATTGAATCCTCAGTATAAGTTTTATTATACAGAGCTATACATAGGACACTGGTACTCAGCGTTATCAAAAGCTATACTGAAACAGCATTTCAGTATTCAGTCACAGAAAAATAAACAATCAGAATGCCCACTCTTCATGGAAAATTAAGTATGCGCAGCTCGTTCGCGCAGATGTTCCGCCATGTTTTAGAGGGAACCAGTGCTGTTCAGTTAAAATTTATGTGGTATGCATAGAAAAATTAACTCGGTTTAATTGACTTACGGCAATCATAGACATACTATGCAATTATTTTAATATTGTTAAATATAATAACATAAAGATAATATAATTAAATGTAATATAATTAAACATAAATATAAACAATTACATAACCTCACAAATCATTTGTCGATAAAGACCCATTACACCAACTGTGATTATCAATCCGAGTCTGTGTTCTGTGTTTCCTTCTAAAACATGGCGATCGCGTGCTGAAAATTTTCAAAGGCGGCATCTGAGAGTGGCCATTCTGATTGTTTATTATTCTGTGATTCAGTTGAATGTGATCTGTGCAGAAGTCATTGTATTTTTTTTAATTTTACATTTTTTACTGCGATTTGTACAAAACGTTTTATATTTTATCATATTTAGGAAAAATTATTCCGCAGTAGCTAATATTTTAACGAATATTATTTTGGATACTATATATCAAAATAAAGTAAATAAAATGATTGTGAAATAATATGGACTTGGGCATAACTCATTGAAGCCATTTTATACTTGGAAAACTTATCCGATTCGGCTACAAATTTTAGGATTGTTGTGGAAGTATCCAATACTGTCATAATTTTTCATTTTTATACTGGCAAAATAATCGCTAAAAATAATCGCGAATATATACCTTAGGAACAATAGTAGAACTTAATATGTTACATTGCATTTCTGAACCTGGAAGCCACTGTGTATTTCTTAATAATTTATTTACCAGCAGAGACTTATTACTTGATTGTCCTATACAAGATACAAAAACTCTTGGTAAAGAAGCTCGTAGATCATATGACTTTTGATTTGATATAAATGGAGAAATACTTTTTGTAAAATGGAACGATAATAAGTGTGTTATAGCATCCAATTTTGATAATATAGAATCTCTCGCACAAGCTAGAGAATATCAAAACTTCGTCATAAAATATTTGGATTTTTTAATACCCTCCCTCCCCTTCGTCGTAAAGCGACGTTTACAGTCGTGGCTCTCCCTCATGTCGACGTCGACTATAGAACTCATGACCTTCTGTTCTTGTTCAAATTCAAACTTTACGTTTTTATACCATTATTTGATACTTTGAATATTGTTCCCCTTTGGTAGAAGCTAGTAAAAAATTATATTTATAGAGACAATAGCGAAAATATGACTCTGTAAAAAAAAGAGCCCTTTTCTTTTATCCAGCAGAAAGTTCCCTCGAAGTGGCGTCCCATTTTAAATAGCTAGAAGTCCTTCTTGATGTTTTGTTGTCCATTTGACCAGGAGATTCATGTAAGTACTCTTGTGTTTTATTTTTGTAGTTGCCCCAATCCAACCACTTGCCATTCAACTTATGCACGACCCCAGCTCTCCAAATAAACCCTGAGTGCCGTTCGTATGTTTCGTTTCTTTTGCTTGTCCTATCTCCACCCCCAGTATCCAAATTTTCAACTCTCTATAATAATACCGTATGAGGTAAGCAAAATAATTCGTTATAAGAAGAAGAAGACAATAGCGAAATATTGAAAAAGTCAGACGTGCATTCACTCCCCCTCCCAAATCTGTCATATACCATCGTAATAACCAAAAACCCAATCCTCTTTTCTAGTATATAATACATTCATAGGAGGCATGGATCAACATAACTGGTTTGATGGAAAATATGCCACTAAAAGCAAAGCTAAGAAGTGATATTGGTCAATATTCACACAAATGATTAATATGGCATTAGCAAATTCATGGCTTCTCTAAAAATGAGTCAATAAGTCAAATATAACTTCATCAGATTCGTCGTCCTACTCAAAATTGATTCCTAGTACCAGTAATATAGTAGGAAGATCGACAACATAAACATCTAAAGTGACACAAAACACGGACACAAAATTTGGTGGGAAAGAACACTTCATGGAGAAACGTGAAGAACGGATATGAAGTCAAGGAGAAAAAATTGTTAACTGTCTTTAACTTATTCATACATACTTGCAGTTATGATAACACTAGCGCTCAGTAATCCATTTATAGGACGGGTCAACATTCAAAAATGCAAAGATATAAAAGAGTTTCACAAATATTTCCATATTAAGAACAATATTACTGATAATTATGTATAAGTAAAATTTTGAAATTTGAAAAAATAATAATTTGGGCTTAAGGCTGTTTTGACCACGAGGTCGAAATACGTGCTCGTATAGAATATGCTAGGTCCGCATTTCAGCGAATGAAAAAATTTCTAATAAACTCTACGTTATCGTTGGACATCCGATACCAATTTGTAAAAACGTTTATTTATTCCATATTGCTATACGGAGTGGAAACATGGACTCTCGGAATTACAAGTATGAGGCGTATAGAAGCCTTTGAGATGTGGGTTTTTCGAAGAATGCTGAAGATCTCTTGGACAGAGCACGTGACCAACAACGAGGTGCTAAGAAGAATGGGTACTGACAGAGAACTCCTAAATATTGTAAAAAACCGAAAAACGAGTTATTTAGGACATATCTACAGAGGAGAAAAATACAACTTCCTACGACTTATAATGGAAGGGAAAGTGGAAGGAAGAAGAGGTCCAGGAAGAAGAAAATGCTCCTGGTTGAAGAACATAAGAGACTGGACAGGCATGGACACACATGCGATACTAAGAACAGCTCAAGATAGAGAGCAATTTGCTGTAGTTATAGCCAACCTTCAGTAATGGAGAAGGCACCTTAAGAAGAAG